TCCAGTGAACATCTCTTCAAATGAGGGTTATTTAAGACTTCTACAACCGAACAGAGTAGGATGATAAAAAAAAAGGAAGGAACAAAGAAAGACAAAGAGGGGCAAACAGGGAGTGAAGAGGATGAGAAAATCTTAAATATAGATAAACAAATTTCAAGATGCCAAGGGGAAAATAGCTTTAAAAAAAAAAATCACGAAACCAAGAACTTACCCAAAGTATATTGGGCAGGTGGGGGACAAAAAACAAGCAATAAACAACCCTTGGGACAAATTAAATCTTTAAAACAAGAACAAAATCAAAGTTCTCATCGTGCTGTTCTAAACCAGCTAGGACTCACGGTATCTCTAGCAGGGGCTTTGCGGAGTGATACAGCGAAGCACGTTCGTGCATCTGGCCACCTGGACAAGGACGCTAGCAGAGATGAGACCCCCAAGAATTCCTTCTACCCCATGTAATTTAGCATGGCCAAGCAGGTGTCCTGGCTGGATATATAAAGCCTTTTGCTTGTCCGAATAGTGAAGAGAGCTATTGACATGGCAGTTACAAGCTCGTATCAACCTCAAAGACAGCACCCTGTAAGGACGGTTCCCCAGCATAAAGCCCTGTGGCTCACTGTGCAGATGATGCAGAATCATCTTTATACCTGCATATTTGGCAATGAAGAGCTCTCTACTCTGCCAAGTACCAGTACCTGGTGAGACACACACAGGTGTGAACATGTGCATGCAACTGTCCTTCAGAAAGAGGGCAAGTGGGCACAGGGCAGAAAAAAAAAATCCACTTTGAGGAAAGAGAAACAAATGATGCAAGTTTTTGCCACTTGGTAATTTAGAGAATGGGAGATGGACTGCTAATGGCGCATCAGTTTGAAATCGTTCTCAAGTCCAAACATTTAAAATATCTCCTAACAATCGACACTGAGTTTTAGTATCTTTCTCTTCCAAAATTGTAGTAGTTTTGGGGACCAGCAGATGGCATAATGGTTATATCACTGGACTCCCACATAGTCTAACGTGGTTCAAGTCCTGGACCCAGCGGCTTAAACTCACACCGGGCGCGTGAGTGTGCATGCCCAAGATCCCGAGAGAAGACTGGAGGAGAAGGGACTATGGCATGGGCATCCCCCCTGGGGAGTGATTTCTTGCTTTCTGTCTCTCTGTCTGTCTCTGTCTTTCTGGTGAGAGCATGTTCCCTATAGCAAAAACCTCTCAAGAAAAAATAAAGAAAAAAATCGAAATTCTAACTGATTTATTTAAATGGAAGGCAACAAATTATAAGTCATCACACTTTGGAAGTAAACGTTAAATATCATACCTTAGGTTTTTTTTTGTTTTGTTTTGTTTTGTTTTGTTTTTAGAGGTTTTTGCTATAGGGTGCTTGCGCTTGCTTGAAAGACAGAGAAAGAGACAGAGAGACAAAAAGCAAAAAATCACCCCAAGGGGGATGGCCACTGCAATTCCTTCTCCTCCACTCTCCTCTCGGGATCTTGGGCATGCACGCACATGCACCTCACGTGAATTTAAACCACCGGGTCCAGGATTCAAACCGTGGTGCACTATGTGGGAGTCCAGTGACGTAATCATTATGCCATCTGCTGGTCTCCATACCTTAGTTTTAAAGCATTATGCTGACTAGTCTCATGTTCACTACTTATGAATTTTTGAAGTAAAACTTGTATATAGTTAAGCATAATAAAACTTTCTATTTCACAGAAACACCTCTGTATGATTAGATTTCTAAAAATCCCAAACTCCTGGCAAACTGGGCACTATCTACAGGACAGAGCATATTTCCTGTGAATGCCTGTCCTTCAGATAATTCATTTCTTTTTTGTCTAATTTATTTGTAATTATTAAGTAGATAGTATGGGAGTTCCAAACCAAAGTCCTTATAAGTACAAAATACTATATTGGGAGAAAAGACATGATCAACTGAAAGTCTTTATGTATTTTTTAATTGGCAGAGGGCATATATAGTCAGAGAAAGAGAAGCAGAAAAAGGGAGACAGCACCCCCACAATGGGGCATGGTCACACCACAATCCCTTCTTCATTGCTCTGTCCTGTTGGGATGTGGGGTGTGTGTATACACGTGCCTGGCGTGTCTTCCAAACTGCTAGGGATGAGACTCACACTGTGGTCAGCCGTGTGGGAGGCACTCCCTTAATTCATAGCTCACAGGACTGGTCAAACAACCGAAAGCCTTCAAAGGACAGAGCAAATATATGATCTGATTTTTTTTACTAAATAAAACTATATTCAAATGTTATACTTGCCGTCATTGTATTTACCAATTCTCCAACTAGCCCAACTATAAAACTAGAGTCATCTAATTTTCCTTTACTTTTCATTTATTTTAAATGCCTGCAGAAGGAGAGGCACACACAAGAAGGAGAACAAAGCACCCCCAGTAGGGCGTGGGCATGCCACCGTCCTTTTCCCAGTTGCCAGCTAAGTTCTCCATCTGATCAACATCCTGGCCTGTGTGCATGTGCCCAGAGTTTTTTCAAGCCACTGAGGCTGGTGCCTGAACCCTGTTTGGCCACGTGGGATCTGGCTTCCTCTGAGTGAGGCTTAACCACTGTGCATGGGGTGCCCCCCCCCCTTTTAAAGTAGCTCTTCGATATAGTTATCTTAGTTGACCTCCAGCTGTGATCTGGGTCATGTCACTGCACAGTATCATCAACTGTGCTGTGTCTGGTGATAGTCGTTAACACAGGTGGCATTGGGAATGCTACTAATAGTCCTCTAGTATTGTTGGTGGGTCCATGTCACATGAAAAAGAGAAATGAACATGGATTCTAGGGACTCAATCACTGATTTTTAAATATGACGATTTCAGAGGCTATGATTTACCTAGCTGAATATTTACGTGTGTGTATCTTTACCCTTATACTCTTGTGCAAAGTTACCCCAAACCTACTTTGGTTGGAAAGTCACTTAAAATGCAGCTTACCTTGAAACATCACCTTTGCTATTTTGCAAAGGGTCTAACTACCTGTCCTTAAAAGTCATTCTTTTAGGTTAAGGCAGTTTTCCTAGAAAGATTGGTTAAGGCAGTGGCCCCTAACCTTTTTGGCCCCAAGGACCAATTTGAAGGACGGCAATTTTTCCATGAACTACAGGTGACAGGGGGCTGGGATTTGGGGATGATTCGATCTCATTACTTTTACTGTGTACTTTATTTCTATTGCTGTATTATTACATTGTAATATACAATGAAATAATTATACAGCTCACCATAATGCAGAATCAGAGGGAGCCTTGAGCTTGTTTTCTTGCAACTAGATGTTTTTGAAACTCATTTTGGCTAGGGTTAGCTTGTGGGCTTACCAGCACTATCCCTGAGACATGGATGCAGTATGGGGAAGAGATGTGGATAGAAGTGGTAATGAAATAACGGGCAGGTTGTGCATGGACTACCGTGTCCAATTGTGACTTAAAGCCTGCCACCAGGCTGCAGCTTAATTATCACTTACCACTCACAGATAGAGTTGCAAACAATTGATTTAGTACGGTCTCTGTGTAGTCAAACCTCTCTGCTGATATTAATCTGTATCTGCAGCCACTCCCCAGTGCTAGCATCACTGCCTCAGCTCCAACTTAGATCATCAGGCATTAGATTCTCACAAGAAGCATGCAACCTAGATCCCTCGCATGTGCAGTTCACAACAGGGTTCACACTCCTATGAGAATCTAACACTGCTGCAGATCCAAGAGGAGGCGGAGCTGAGGCAGTAATGCAGTGATGGACAGTGGCTCTGAGTATCCATGAAGCTTCACTGCTCACCCACCACTCACCTCCTGGTGTGTGGCTTGCTTCTTAACAGGCCATAGATGGGTACTTAGGTTGAGGACCCCTGGATTAAAGGATACCCATTACCCAAGTGCTATATGTAATTAGCCCACTAAACATCTACTGAACATAAAAGTACAGATTAGTTTCTCAAATCAGTTAGCTGTCACTTCAAGGAGGAAAGAAGTGAAAAATGTCTGAAAGCATGAGACACAGCAAAGTTTTGAGGTGACAAAGTACACGTGTACCATTAGGCACAGGTTTAGAGATGGTGCTGGAGGCCTCAGGAGCCATGGGAGGACTGGCCCACTATAAAGATCAGCATTGACCAGAAGACAGACTTCACAAAAAGTCCCCAGATGCAGCCTTGCCTTGCCTTTGCTTCTCGTAACGCCTTCCATCAGGGATCAGATGAGCACCCGTGTGCCATTTGGGCCACTGCAGCTACCCAGGCCACAGGCAGAGCATGCGCTCTCATCTGAGTGTTGCAACAGTGTGGAAGCCAGAGCAGATATGCTTTAAGGCTGGATGGCAGTAAGAGAGAAAATGCCAGGTAAAGAAAAGTGAGTTGGCCCTGCCTAATATAAGACCCTCTAGCAGGGGCATTAGAGGAAAAAAACTGTAGAAACAATGTTTATAACACCCAGAAGCTGAACTGCTACCTCAAGGTGCTACAAGCATGGTTTACCACTATTGCTAGGGTAAGCTCATTTGGACTAAAAGACTAATGGACAATTTCAGAAATAATGACCCTGAGTTTCTAGACTGTAACTTTCAATAGTAATTAAAAGTAAATGAAAACATCAGGTGAAAATAATTACTAGGAACTAAGTGCACAGGTTGGCCAAAGACAAAGGGGCAAATTTCAAGTTAGGAAGCAAAGTTTCCTACGGTAATGAGTGGTGGCTCTTCTGTTTCCAGTAGCACCAGGTACTGAGTGCTTCAGAGGTCTAAGTCTATTTGATTCTCAAACAATCCTAAGAGGTGGGGTCTACTAACACAACCGACCCTCTTTGTTGAATGAAGGAGTAGACTCAGAGAGGTAAAGTGACTTGCCCAGGTTACCCAGAGAGTGAGTGGCAGAGTTAGGATTCGAACCTATGCAGTTGGGCATGGGAGCCTATTTCTGACCCAAGTACTATGCTGAGCCAGGCTGCCTTTGAATGTCCCAGCTGGGCCCATCAAAACACAGCAAGAGGAAGTTAATATAGAAAAAAGAGAATGAAAGTATTATCCAAAGCATATATAAAGGTAAGCAAAATAAAATGGGTAAGTGAATAATGAACTAAACAACCCCCTCCAACCGTCAAAAGTCATTTTCTGTTGTTATCCCAGGTGGAAAAATGCTAAACTAAAAAAGCTTAACTTAAAAATATATATATATTTTGGACAAGCCGGCAGGTAGTGTGGTAGTTAAGGGCACTGGACTCCCACATGGCTGACCATGGTTCGAGTCCCAAACTTGGTGGCTTGCTTTCTCAATTTCTTTCTTTCTCTCTCTGTCTCTCTCTCACCCCCTCTCTGGTCAAATTAAAATAAATAAATATAAAATAATACTTTAAAATGAAAATGTTTTGGGACCAGTAGATGGCGTAATGGTTATGTCACTGGACTTCTACACAGTGACCATGGTTTGAGTCTTGGTCCCAGTGGCTTAAAACTCATGTCAGGTGCATATGCATGCAGATCCAAAATCCCGAGGAGAGAATGGAGGAGAAGGGACTGCAGTGTGGCCATCCCCCTGGGGCAGGGGCAGTGATTTCTCACTTTCTGTCTCTGTCTGTCTGTGTTTCTCTGGAGAGCATACATGCCCTACTCTTTAAAAAAAAAAAAAAAAAGTCCAATTAAAGTAATAAAGGCGGGACCAGCAGTTGGCATAATGGCTATGTCGCTGGACTCCCATGTAGCCGAGTCCCGGGTCTGGTGGCTTAAACTCACGCTGGGCACAAGTGCATGCGTGCCTGAGATCCCAAGAGGAGAAGAATGGAGGAGAAAGGATTGTGCCATGGCCATCCCCCACCCCCAGGGGGTGATTTTTTTGCTTTCTGTCTCTCTGTCTCTCTCTGTCTTTCTGGTGATAGCAAAAACCTCTCAAAAAAAAGAAAAAGTAATAAAGGCATTATCCACCATAAATGACTATTTTTTACTGTCCTGACATTTACCAATAAAAAATTCCAGACTACTGTCTCTCACATCACATGCCTCTCATGCCACCAGTATTGTCGGTGTAACTAAGTCCATATTTGTAATTTGAAGTCCTAGAACGAGTTTTTAATTTCATGAAATGAAAGGTAATTTTAATGGAAAGGTAAATTTAATTGTGGAAATAACCAAATGGTCAAGATACTTAAAGATGGTGACGTAACTGTCCATTTCTGTCATCCCATTTCAGTCAGTAGTTTTCACATAAATTCTTCCCCTCCAACCTTCTCCCACAAATTCAGTAAATTACCTACACGGGATGTTAAGACTTGTATCTAACATCTCATTCGGGAAAGAAGCTGGCTCTCTGGGGCACCAACGGCTATCAGAATGTATTGGTTTTCCAAGCACCAAGAATGAGTTAGCGTAGAAATAGCGAGCCACAGCGAGGGGCAGGAGAATACAGTTCTGATGAGCCATACCTAGCTCCTTCTGAATGTTGTCAGGGACGCCTGTAATAGTCTTTCTCCTTTTGACTTTCTTCGGTCGTCTTACCAGAGTGTCTGTGTATATTAGAGACCGCCGAAGGCTGGCCTGGCGATCGAAATTCTCCCCTAATGTAGAGTAGTAGAACAAGCAAAGCAAGGTTATTTTTGAGCGAGCTGACACCATGCACTCTCTTCCAGAAGCTCGTTGTAAAATGATAAGAAGGTATTAATAATGATGTTAGCCAGTCATGTGATGATGAATGCTGAAGGGCGAAAAAGGAAGGAAAAGCACGTTATCACCATAAGGCTGTTTTCCAACTTCTCCATGTTTGCCCTTCCAAAGGGAGCACCTTGAGCTCATTTTCAAATGAGCTGAAGTAGCAAATGCGGACTGGTTAATAACACACTGGAAGAGTGATCGTGCTGTATCAAATGTGAGGCATTTGAGGAGTACGTTGCATAGGTCTTCCGGTCACTGAAGTTACTCTGGACATCAGCATGAATGCAGGGATGGCAGTGAATATATTTTATTCATCTGGTCATCCTGCAGAGACCAATATAATGTCTGTCTGTGTGATGAAACAAATAACCATTCTTGGATGAAGAACTGTTTCTTCAATCAAGAAGGCTGAGAGTTTGCATGGATTGTGGCCATTATGATGATGCAAAATACAACAACAGTGAACAATTTGAAAGCCTTATAATGATAAAGTACTTTTATAACAATGAGCCCCAGTGGCATTGCTGCTGTTGAAGCTGAACAGTTTCTCTTTGGTTCATAATTACTTTTTTGTTTATCTGGTTTTTGTGTGTTTTTTTTTTTTTAAGCTTTTTTCAAAGGGTGCGTGTGCTCACCAGAGAGAGACAGAGAGAGGGAAAGTGAGAAATCATCCCCCAGGGGGGATGGCCATGCTACGATCCCTTCTCTCCCATTCTTCTCCTGGGATTTTTGGGCAAGCACGCACATGTGCCCAGCTTTATTTCAAGTTGCCGGATCCAGGGCTCAAACTGCAGTTGGTCATATGAGAGTCCAGTGCCTTAACAACCACACCACCCGCTGACCCCTATAGTTACTCTTTAAAAGTCCATCTTAATTCAGACATTTCATGTGATATTGCCATAAAACCCAGAGTACCACATCCACAGGACTTTTTTCTTTTTAGAGTGTACTCCTGTGTGATTAACACAGGGAAACCATAAAACATGCAGTTTGTAACAATAGCAGTGTTACAAACTGGTCTGGTCTGCTTTAAAGTATTTGCCAGTTTAATTTTAAAAAGTTTGTATAGAATTGACCTTTTTAAATGATTATTCTCCTCAAAAAGAGAGGAAATATATACATATATATATAAATATTATACACACACACACACATACATACACACACATACAAACATAAGGCTCTTTGTCGAAAATTATATATATGGTAATATCCTTGATTTGATTACCACACATTGCATGTTTGCTTTGAAGTATCATACTGAACACCATAAAGATGTACAATAATTAAATGTAAATAAGCAATTATAACATAAAATTTGAAAAAATGCATATATACACAAAAGTTACAAACTTCTGTTACTGTGTGCAGAATATTCACTCTTTTGAGCAATACTGATACATTTAAAGTAGGTATGTTGTGGACAATGTAATTCCTATTTTAATAGGAATTGTGGATGTTATCTGATCAAAACAGGGTAAAAAATCTGAATGCTCAAAATACATTTTATCTAATATAGAACAAAGACAAATGCTGGCAAACTCGCAAATGCTTGCAACCTTTGTTGCTACTGGAGCAAAATAGAAATGACTGAGAGAAGGCCTTGAATACCAGAAGGTACCACTGCTGTGAAAAATGGGTCACTAAGTGCAATGGTATAAATGGAGCTGGTAAGGGGCAAGTCGTGACTTCAGTGGCTCATTACTTTCCTGCAGCAGAGGGGGAAAAAAAGGTTCCTTGTATGAAGACATTACAAATGGACAAAACATTAATAGAAAGTTGCATTTAGTCTCTGGTTTTGCTTCCTAGACAAAAACAAAAGATAAAATCACCCTAGCTCCAAGGGAATTCAGAACAAATGAAGATGACCATCAAAGACTTATACCATTAAAGGCAACAAACTGTGCCTTTCCTTTGACCTGAAAAAGACTGACTCGTCTACATATTTTGAGGCAGGGACCATGACTCACGTACCTTAGCAACCCCTACGGCACTCAGCCAGTGCCTCACACACGGCAGGTATTTAATAAATACCGTCTGAATTTAATCACTCCCTTTCACTGAAAACTGGCGTTAGTTAGTCAGGATTACAATGTAGAAATAAGCCCAGATAGCTCAAATAGCAGTACAGAGCCAGTTGTAAACATTGTGTCAGTATATTTATGCTATACTTATCTTCCAGGTGGAAGAGCTGTTGTCCTACATGGCAGATCATGGAACATGTACATTGTAAACATTTCTCTTCTCTTTAACTCAGAACATGCCAAGTATCCACAGGACTATCACTAATGGGATTAAATTCATTTTCAAGCCAGCAGCTCACTGTGCTAATGTTCTACCTCTATGCCTGGTGGGTTTAATCCTGGGTTTGAAATCATATGAACACTTATTGGCATTTTTCCCCCTGCTGGGCCTTACTGAAAATCAGACTAAAAGATCAATATCCACCCTGAATAATGATCACATGAAAATTCCCAAGGGGAAGCTACATTTTTTATCTCAAAAGAACTTGTAGGACTTAGGAAATTAAGGAGCAGGAAAGCTATATAACCTATGTCAATTCGACACACCCAAAGTAAAAATTTTAAATGTATCGCTTTATATACAATTAGAAAAACTGTTTAAGAAATATGTGTGTATATGTGAAAACACAAATGTAGAAGATGGATTGATAACTATGTAATTAGGCATTATATTTAATTTTAACGATTTCTGCAAAATGTTAATCACTCAATTAAAAGTAAATTGCATTTTGACATAAATTATACTGTTCATTTCTTTATTGTCATTCACCTTTCCTGTGTGGTATTCTAAAGACCTTCTTTTAAACTCTATGACCCACTTGGTCATCAAACAGGAACAAATTAAAGCTCAAAGATTGACACTTCTGTTCTGACAATGCAATTCATTGCAAATAATTCTTTATGCCTAAAACTCTAGTTAAATCTCCTAATCTCAAGATAATGCATTTCACCCTAATTCCACTAAGAATTACCGTATTTCATAGCAGTCTTATCTTATAATATTACTTCAGAGGCATTTAATGATATATAATGTAATTACATTTCTGCTGCTTTAAATCATACACTGTAATTCATTTTCTTATAGAAAATATGCAACCATATATTTCATCAAATAAAAACACTATACTTTGTTATGAATGATACCAATAAAAATAATCCTTAAACAAATGTGGCCTAGGTAATAAGAAACACATTTGGTAAGAGCAACAAATGTTATTAGAAAAAAGAAAGGATTAAATGCCATGCTACTTGTTACAGTTTAAATAAAATAAATGTGAAAAAATCCGACATGAAACTGAAAATAATTCATATATGTATTTGTTAATGGATGTGGAATTAAAAAAAAAATAGTTCCAGCTGTAATTTCTAACCCTGACAGGTTTTAAAAAATACCTTCAGTAACTGTAAAATGCTATTAGCCCCTTAGAGCTCACCAATGCCAAGGTACAAAGCTTTCTGACAGCATTGTTCCCAGAAACATAGCAAGAAGGCTATAAATTTCCACCCTAACTGCTGATGAAAATTCATCCTTTGGGTCACCTGATTATTTTAGGATTGGGCCCAACGAGCCATGCTTTGTAGGGTCTGATTACCAATGATGACTACTGGCTATCTATTTCTGTTAAACACACAGGATAATGGATGAAGCTATTAATTCTTAACATGTCTATTTTGAACTTTGTATCCTCCCCAAACCATTGACCTTCTTTGCTGGCTATAGAAATGATTAATTAGGAAAAGGTTGTTATCTTTTTAGCACTTCTTCTAAGTTAGAGAAAAATGGTCTTTGAGTTTCATGTGCCTTCTTACTTGTCACCTTAATTATTCCAAATGATTAAAAGCTAAGTATAATATCCCACAAGAACTTGAATTTCAGGTTTGGCAGTTAATATTTATATCCAGGCTAGTGGAACATATCCTAAAAATTACATATTTTGGAAAGAATGGGTTTTTATTGGAAGATTGTGGAATTCAAATTATAGCAATCAAATACAACTTTATCATCCTATTAAGTTTTTTTATAATGCTTTTATAATTATTAATTTACTCAATATTTTTTATTTCAAGTGATGTTCCCCTTTTCCTACTTGAGAAAACAAGATGGGAAATATCACAAAATGATTATTTCTTTGCTTCTATATATGTTAATAAGGGAAATGTGAGTTCATAGTATTTTTCTTACCCAGAACCACATTTAGAAGATGTCCTACATAATCAACATCTTATTTAAAAGGAAATCAATTTTTAAAAAGACACTCTTTAATGACTGGACACAAACCTTTGGAGACATAGTCTTCTGACCTAACGAGCAATGGATATTTACATGCGCACACATGCGTGGTTTTAGTACTCCCTTCATTGCATTAAGCATTCCCTTCTTTGCTTAAAGAGCAGGAAGCCAGACCACAGCTATTCACCTTTGATGCAGAAATAAACACTAAGAGCACATAACAACGAAAAGCCACAGTCATTCTCCCCAGTGCACTCTGAACATGCCTGCCTGGCAAAGCCTACCCGTGATGTTAATAGGAACCACATCCGCCTGGACTGTTCGGGCTTGCTGTCGCATCTTCTCTTCTGGTGTTGGCAGGGGAAGTGACTTGGTCCAGTTCGTCTGCGTATTGAGGTCAGAGAAGTCACTTGAGGTTGGCGTTTTAGGTCTCCTGATGGAAACAAGTCTTTCCTCTTCGGATGAAGAAAGAGAACACTGCAAAGAAAAAGAAAGAGGCACGGTGTGTGAATAGCTGGCAGGAAGGCTGAAACATACATTTCTTATTATAAACAATTAGACTGCTTTAGAGGAACCAAAAAGACAAGAGACAGAAACAAAAAGATGGTTCCACCGAAGAACAGAAGTGATGGTTCAACAAAAAGGCCCTCTTGAACGTGGCCACTCTAAATGTGACTCCCAGCAGCCTCAGTCTGGAAACCGCGAGGACTGCAAAAGGTTTTGCTGACCCACAAAACCTGCTAAGTTTTTCCTATATTTCCAGTGGTCAGAGAGCTTACGGATTTAGCCTAACACTAGAAGCCCCGAGAAACATCATCATGGCTAGGGCCGTTGGCTTCCATTTTTATTAAAATTTTGTTTTGCTCCAAGTCATTTCTAGCCTCCCTCTTATTTCCTTTCAGCTCTGACCTCAAGGAACATTTCGAAAATGATAGAGCTATTGCTGTTCAACTGTTTGTGCTCTTTTGAAACCATTTATACGGCAAAAATCAGTGTGAAATTGTAAATCACAAGGAGCGGACTGAAGCTCTGCTCTGAGGCTTATCAGAATTCCATGAAAACATTTCTAGCAGTGTCTGTTCTGATACAGATGAACATCCTAACTGAAGGGCCCTTCTTCAATACCTTTCTTTCCGTAACACCTTAAAAGGTGTAAGCCAGAAAGTTGTGTTGGCAAGCATTTTATGACAGACTTCACCATGGCAGCTGTTCCGTGACAAGAAGCTGCAAGGAGTCTAAATGACTGCGGTGTGCTTGGGGACACCAACAGAAGGTCATTGATGTGTGTGGAGAAAGGGAAGTCTGTAATATACAATAAATGCATAAGGATTTCTCTTTAGGTCTAAAGCATTTAGACTGAGCTACCACTGATGAACGTAAGACTTTGAAAAAGAATTTTACTTGCGGGAACCAGCAGTTAGTGTAATGGCTATGTCACTGGACTCCCACATAGTCGACCACAGTTTGCGTCCTGGACCTGGTGGCTTAAAACTCACGCCGGGCGCGTGTGCGTGCGTGCCCAAGATCCCAAGAGGAAAATGGAGGAGAAGGGATTGCGGCGTGACTATCCCCCCTGGGGGGTGATTTCTCGCTTTCTGCCTCTACGTCTCTCTCTGTCTGTTCTGGTGAGCGCATGCGCTCTATAGCGGGGGACCTCTCCAAAAAAAGAATTTTACTTGGGCCAGCAGGTGGCGCTGGACTCCCACATGCTCAACTGCATTTCAAATCCCAGACCTGGCAACTTGCTTTCTTACTCCCCCCCCCTCCCATGACTATAGCAAGTTTAAATGAATAGTATTAATAATAAATAAAATAATTCATTCTTTTTTAAGAGGTTTTTGCATTAGGGTGCACGTGCTCTCAAGAAAGAGACAGGGTGAGGGAGAAGGTGAGAGGGAAAGTGAGAAATCAGTCCGAGGGGGGATGGCCATGCCACAGGCCCTTCTCCATTTTCTTCCTGGGATCTTGGGCAAGCATGCACTCATGCCCAGCGTGATTTTCAAGCCACCAGGTCTGGGACTTGGCCATGTGGGAGTCCAGCGATGTAACCGCTACACCATCTGCTGGCCCAAAATAATTCTTAAAAAAAAAAAAAAAAAAAGTTTTACTGAAGGACAGTCACTGAACCTTCCCAAAGGGAACACCTGTGTAACTAGAACCCAGAGGAATGCAAATGTCCCCCCAAGTATTGACCTCTACAGAAAAGTAACTGCTGTCCAGACATCTAACACCACAGCTTTGTTTTGCCTGTATTTGAACTCTATATAAAAGGAATCGTACTGCCTGTTCTTTTGTGATGTCTGTCTTTCTTTCAACATTATGTCTCGGAGGATTTATCAATTTCTAAAAAGCATGGTTTGGGCCAGCCTCATGTACAATGAATGGTAAGGGGCTGGATCCCATGTGGTTGGACATCATTCAAGGTCCAGCCCTGGTGGCTAGAAAAAACATGCTGGATACATGTAAGTGTAAGCCCAAGTTCCTGGTGGGATGGAGAAATGGAGAAAAAAGATTGTGGCATGACCACAGTCCATTAAGGGATGTTTTCTGTGTGTGTGTGTGTGTGTGTGTCTCTCTCTCTCTCTCTGGTGAGAGCACATATCTACTGGCAATTGGACAGGAAAAGCATGCTTTCATGTTTTTCTGGATTCAATGTAAGTTGCTAAGAGTGTACAAGTAAGAAACACACAGAAATGCTTTGGTTAGAAATCTCAAACCCAAGAACATCATTATTATTGCTTATTATTAACAAAATTATCTTGCTACAAAATATCTGTACTAATTCTTCAACTATAAGAGTTTCACAAATCTACAATAAACAACACAAAAGCTAATTAAAATGATGTGGTGTTGGGAAAAGGCCCTAGATTAAGAATCCAAAGATCTGAGACTGGTTGTAAGCTTTGATGTTTCCTTTGCTGTAAGATGAGGCTGTACTGCTTACCTCTGTTGTAGCCACCAAGGGACTCTTTGGCCCCCATGAGATGATAAATGTGTAGTTGTGGATGGATGTTAAATTTTTGGATACGGGGGATGGCAGACGGCATGGTAATTAGGGTACTGGACTCACATGGCTATGGTTTGAGTCCTGGACTTGGTGTCTTGCTTTCTAACTTTCACTTTCTCTCTCTGGTCAAATTAAATAATAACAACAACAACAAATGGAATCAAATGAATAATTCCTTTTTTTTTAAGATTTTTTTTTTTGGAGAGATTTTCACTGTAGGGCGCGTGCGCTCACCAGACAGACAGAGAGAGACATAGAGACAGAAAGCGAGAACTCACCCCCCAGGGGGGATGGTCACACCGCAATCCCTTCTCCTCCATTCTCCTCTCGGGATCTTGGGTACGCACGCACACGCGCCCGGCGTGAGTTTTAAGCCACCGGGGCCGGGACACGAACCGCGGTCGACTACGTGGGAGTCCAGCGACATAGCCATTATGCTTACTGCTGGTTCCCAAGAATTATTTTTTATTTTAAATTTATTTATTATTTGATTTTAATTTGACCAGTAACTGAGACAGAGCAGGAAGAGAGAAAGAGAGAGAGAGAGAGGAAAAGTGAGAAAGCAAACTGCCAGGTTCAGGACTTGAACCACAGTTAGCCACGTGGGTGTCCAGCGTCCTTAACCATCATGCCACCTGCCAGCCCCGATAAATAATTATTTAAAAAAAAAACTTGGATATGAAGGCAGTAGTTATATAAATAGACTTTGGAAAAGCAAAATCATCAATTGGCAAGTAGTCATTTTTTTCTTTTACTACAAGGATATCAACTGTAATAAGAGCATTGTGGAAATTAAAATATAAATCATATAATTAGATATTTCACATTTTTGCTTTATATTCTTAGTACATAAAGCATATAAAGTGATCTAGTCTCTTTTCTAACAAAAGAAAATATGAAATAATATTCATGAATTAAACTGAGAAATACATTCAGTTTATAAACTGAGCATATGGGGCCAGTCCCATAGTGTAGGGGTTAAGTGCTGTGCAGACGAAGCCAGATCTCACATGGCCAACTGGGGTTCAAGTCCCAGCCCAGTTAGCTTTGTGCCGGGTGTGTGTACCCAGGATTCTGACAGGATGGAGAACTGGAGGAAGGGGCACTGCAGCATGACTGAGCCCCACTGGTTAGGAAGGAGATTCTCTCTCGGCTCCTCTCTGATGTGCGTGCAAGCACCCTCTAGCATTTAAAAATAAAAGTTTAAACTGGCATAAGGTACTGGCATCTTGTTATGATATTAAATTACTATATCCATTCATATTTGATCTGATTCTGATTAAAGTAGTTACAACCCACACAGATCCTTGAAAGACAAACGAAGGGATTTTTCCTTTAGCCAAACCACACATAATTGACACCAATCAACTGTTTCCAGACTCTCTGCAGTTGTGACAGTCTTGCTAAGTTTAACTTACAATATATATTCTCTACCCTTAAGGTGCAGGTACATATACAGAGATCTAAGTGCATTAACATTTATTCTATTTGATAATTTCATGGCAGTTTGGGGAAAGGCCACATGTGTAAGGCTGAATCTCAATTTAGTAAGTTAGGTTACTCCAATTTTCCAATATACATACATGCACAGAAATAAATTCTCAGGGATCTTGAAATATAGTCTAAGTTTTGAAGGCAATAAGAAGCAAATCCTAAATAAAAATGCTTTTTTAAAAAATTAAGCTTCAGGGACCAGCAGTTAGCATAATGGCTATGTTGCTGCACTCCTATGTAGCCAACCACGGTTCGCGTCCCGGACCTGGTGGCTTAAACCTCACGCCAGGCACGTGTGCGTGCGTGCATGCTCAAGATCCCGAGAGGAGAATGGAGGAGAAGGGACTGCGGTGTGGCCATTCCCCCAGGGGGGTGATTTCTTGCTTTCTAGCTCTCTGTCTCTCTCTGTCTTTCTGGTGAGTGCACACACCCTGTAACAAAATCCCCTCCAAAAAAAAATTAAGCTTCAGAGAGATGGAGAATAATACACCAACTGTGGCGAGGGCTCCCTCTTCTGTGTGACGTCTGTCCACCAGGGAGCAGGGTGCAGACCTGTAAGTATCTCAGTGGCGTTCATCAGCCCCAGTGACCTACTTTCTGACTGACTGATAGTGTCAGAATCGATTGCTCTCACAATGAAACAGCACTCATGTCCCCGTAGCCTCCAGTCTCCGTTGCCATGTTGCCATGGGGTGATCACCGGGGATTGCTTCAGTATAACAACAACAAAGAGAATCCATTTTATCAAGTGCTCCTTTTTCTGGCAAAAGCATTTCCCAGACCAATAGGGCACAGATAAAGTTATATGCAAATGTAACTATTATATACTTCCTTAATCTCCTAATGAGAACAAAATCACCGCTGCTCGATGGCAGCACATACCATCACTGCTCCATTAAGACGGCCTGGTGGGGCAAGATGGTGGCACAGCCGTGTCACAACTGGACTCACGTGGGAAGTCCCTGATTTGTGCCTC